CAACGTCCCGCCTGGGCTCAATCTGGTCCGAGGCGCTCTCGTCCGTTCATCCAGATCCGATGGCCAGGCGTCAACTTCGGGATATCAACCCCCCTCACGGCCACCGTTCCCAAACCCTAATTCATTCGACTCCTCCCTTTCTCTCTCTCTCAGCGCAACAGCTCTAAGCGCAGCAGCAGCGATAGCCACGGTGGTACCCCAACGGCACCGTAGACCGGTACAAGGCAAGGTGGGTCGTACGCGGCTTCAACCAACGCCTAGGGATCGACTTCGGCGAAACCTTCTCGCCGGTCGTCAAGCTACCGACCACCAGGACGGTACTCACCCGGTGCGTCTTGACGTCGTAGCAGCGATAGCCACGGTGGTCCGCGGGGTAGCCGATGAATACACAGAGCGCGGAGCGGGCGTTGAGCAGGAAGGGTGTGAACGCGTAGAAGATAAAGAAAGGTAGGGGTTTTCTGTAAATGTACGTTGGATTTAAGGTTAAATAAATAGGTATGGACCTGTAGTGAACCATTTTAAAAGTTCATGGACCAAAAAATACAGTTTCAAAGTTGATGGGTCTAGATGACACCCCAACGAAAGTTAATGGACCTCCGATGTATTTTACTCAAAAAATATCAATATTTATAATATCAAATAAATATCACTCGATTGATTACGAAATGTATTTCTATAATAAATTAATTTGAAGCCATAAATACGAATACTATTCACTAGAAACTTGATCAAACATGATATACTTTAACTGGCTAGCAACACATAATTGCATTTTTTTTTTGGACGGACGAAGTATCTACTGTCTCCTCACAAATAATAAGAATATAATTCTACATCTGATTAAAGTCAAATTATCTTAATAAAATTAACTAAGTATATAGAAAATATTGTGAACATGTATGACTCTAAATTATTTAGTATAATAAATATGAATATTTTTCACTAGAATTAGAATTACATAATGTGGAGTATCTATCTATCTATCGGTTTCTTTGTGGCACTGTCGAGAGAGGATGCTCGCCCTCCGTGCCTCTACTCCACTGACGCATCATCATGGCCCTGATGACTCCGCCTATCGCGTTCTGGCGCTGTCAGTCACGCGCGGCCGCTTCATGCATTCATGCATGCCAAAGGCAATGGCATGATCAGGTCAGGTCAGGGCCCTGACCTCGCTGTTGCGCGCAGGCGCAGGTGTGTGGGCGGAGTGTGGCCCACGTCACGTCCGGCCCAACGCCCATGATCAGTGTACTGCGCCCATAACTCCTATGGGCGCCGGCAGCAGCGAGGTCCGTCTGTGCTATCCGAGAAATTTTTATTATTTTTAACACTTTTTTAAACTAATTTTAAATCTAACACTGTTTTATTTTTTTTTAAAACTAACACTTTTGTCGCGTCTATTTTCCTGGCGCGGCGAAACGCCTCTGCCGCACCATGCATGGTGGCGCGGCGAGAGAGATGACGTGGCGACGACCGGGGCGCTGACCGGTGACGTGCCAGGGTCTGTCGCGCCATAGCCCACGGCGCGGCAGGACCTGGACGCAGACAGAAACCGACTAGCCTCAATTGCAATTGAATGGGAGCTGTTGTCGGTGTTGTAAACAATTACAAGTGCTGCCACGACGCATTGAAACGAATATGAAGCAAATAAATTGAGTCCATGCGCAAGTTAACAAGTTGTCACATAATATTTTCATTGGTTCATGAGTCTGCAAGTTTCGGACGACAATATTCGTTCGACATAAGTTCGACATAACCAACTAAGTCCCAGGAGTGTAAGGATCTCTCGGACGCCTCTGTCTTCTTCGGATTTGTAGGCAACACATTGGGAGTGTAGCCAACGTCGATGTGGTCGCGTTACCGATGCATACGGCTCGTACCCTGCAAGTATATGATATGCACGATTACTTATAATCTTTATGATCGTTAGTTCATAGAGCATACGTATTTAAAAAACTACCTTTGTTATTAACTGTGAGGCTCCTTGGGTACCAAGCGGGGCACCACCTAGTTGAGATATGTCGATCTTATCCTGCTGCCATGGGTCCCACTGGTGGTGCTGTATGTGGAAGCCCGGGGGGTCGTCGTCGTCATCGTTGTCCTCGTTTCCAGGGTCCTTTCCAGCGCTATAATATGGTAGTGTACGCACAGTGGAAGCGGCACCTGTCACCGGCTGACAAGAGCTAGCTGGTGTCCTCAAAGAGCCAGAAGACGTGGCACATGACCACGCCGAGTATTCGGGTTCCACCCAAAGAGTGTCCATGCAGCTCAACTTCTGAGCTAGCTTCCTATAGCTCGCTTCACCGTCTGCATTAATAGATGTTAAAGTTAGTGCATTTTCCAAATGCATATACACTAAAAGATATTTTTGGAACGAACAAGTTTATGTTTACCTTCACAAAAGCCTCGAGAACGCCTGGGCCTCGCCCTTTAGACTCGTGAAGCCAAAACACTGCTTCGTTGGACAACCTTGACAATTGTATCGCCTGGGTACAGAAATATAGTTGGATAGTTTTAGTACACATACTTCATACCAAATGGATAATAAATTGTACCATTCGAGTATCTTACCACGTATCTTTGAAGCGGGGCTCTCTGTAGTTGTGTGTCGTCCCTAGTGGCAACGTCGTATACATCTTCGATCACATCTTCCTTGTCGTCCTCGTCAATCAGCTCCTCAGTGTACGGGGCCTTGATATGTGTCCTCATAGACCTGTGAAGCCACCACAGGTACTCATCGAAGGTGTGCTGGTCGTGTGGGGGACTCGCATCGACAGGCTGCCGATCCCTGGTCTGCCACAACTGGATGTACGCGTTGTGTGTCACGCGCCAATCCTTGGTCTTGTACCTCTTCCTACGGTCATACCTGCAACAAAACGATTGTCAGTTGTACCATACACACCTCTGAATTGTACCTTTGTTATTAATCGATAACGCACCCGTGTAATTCTTGGTTGGTGGAGTAAAGCGGTGGTGGGTAGCCTGTCATTCTTCTACACTGCCTGCAAACCCTGGTGGGCAAGTGAATCTTGACCATGTGGAAGAAAATAAGAGGGACGTTGCAGCGATACTCATCTGACTCATCCCTAGTGACATGACTCAAATAGTCCAGAAGCTCCAGAGCATCCCAAGGACACCAATGCACCCAAACATTTCGTAATTAAGTTAGGTTATGATATAGTGTACATTGAACAAGACACGTGTATGATAGTAAAGAGAGCATAACCTGGTGCTGTCAGGACGTCGAGACAGTTCGTGTACTCCCTGTACTTGCGCCTCGCATTCCCTCTAACTAACTCTGCTTGTGTCCAAATATACAGAGTTGTAGGCAGTGTATCCTGCCCGTTCCAATGTTGCATTGAACATGATAATGAATTAGCCATTAATAATTTCATCATATGTAACTGCCTCGAAGAATATAGTGAACCAAAGTACTTACAGGGAAACCAGTAACAAGGGGCCTCCCAACGGGCCATCGTTCCCAACACCAAACCTGGAGTAGGTAGGAGCAACCTCCAAGGTTCACATATTCTGAGATGCGATGGCGGGCAATGCATAGTTGTCGATACGTCCATGCTAGGACTACGCTGCCCCAGCTGTACGCCGCTATGTTATCCCATGGCTGACGTAGTATGTTAAGAAAGATCCAACTGATGGTGTTGCCCGAGGCGTCTGGGAATAGGAAAGCACCAAGGAAGTGCCAGAGCCACACTCTAGCGAACCTATCGATCTGAGGCTCATCAGCCTGTGGGTCCAAGTAATCAAAGCGCTTTGTGATCAACGACAACGAAACATCGAAACTTTTCCTGAAATTCACCAAAGAAAATGAGATCCCGATGGCTGCCGGAAAGCAATGCAAGTATTAAATAGGCTTGAATTGCTCACTTATTTTTCTTTGAAACCTCGTCGTCCGGTGGAAGAAAGCCAGTGAACTGAGCCACCAGCTCCCTCCAATGATCGCTGTCAACTATACCTGTCACTGGAAGTCCCTCAACCGAAGGCCAAAGATAGCCCTCACGTCCTGCATGGTCAAGGTCATCTCGCCGCAAGGTAGGTGGAATGTGTGGGTCTCAGGCATCCACCTGTTATAAGAATAGAACGACTGTTAGTTACATCAAATTTGTTATAAGAATGTTTACGTATAATGAAGGCACTCGCACCTATCTACAGCTGCAGTAAGTAGTGCTAGGTCAATGGACAAAAGACCGTAGTTGACAACACGGACAAGCTCGAGGAAGCGGGCACGCCGTATGTACAACGCGTAACGCTCGTCCCACTGGTGCGCCCTAGTGTGCGTGCGGGGCCTCAAAGGAGGCAAGGGCACCTCTGTGTCGGTGTTAGTCAAGAAGTATGCTCGGTGCGGATCGTCGTACTCCATCTCAAGAAGGGGGTACAACTGGTGCTGTGTAGGAGGGGCCGTCCTATTATAAATTGATAAACAAATGGTTAGAGTATTCAAATTAACATTATGTAGGATTGCAAAATTTAAACTACTTGTTATGCAATACGAATACAATATGAAAAGCACATGTATATATTCAAAGTAACATTAACAGACATATTAAACAACTTTACTAGAAAATAAGCAACTTCTATGTATAACTGTTCAGACACAATACAACTAGAAGATGCCATAACTACATTTGCTATATAGCTTTCCTTTCTTTTTCATTACACTATTGATTTACAGTATATAATTACACAATCTATAATTGGGGAAAGCCTACTAACATTGCCTCTACCCCTCCTTACCACCCTTGGGTAAAAACATTGATTTCATGTTGCCCTACAAAGAATCATTTGCCCCGCTTTAGAAGATACGTCTTTTTCTAACTGTAAGGGGGAATCTCATCCCAACCCTAACAAATACCTATATGAATTTTATAAAGCTAGCTGAATTTTACAAATACCTATGTGCGAGAGGGTGGTGGCAGGCGGGCGGGTGCGGAAGCAGTGCTGGCTGTGGCGGGAGTGGCGCTTGCGCGCTGGCGCGCGAGCGAGAGATGGCGTGGCTTGTTGGCGTGCGGCGCAAGCAAGGGTGCGCGGCAGCCGCGGCGGCAAAGCGGCGCGCGCGCGTAAGCGCGCGTGGGCGGTATCGATCGCGGCGAGATAGGCTCGGCTTTTGGCTGGCAATGCAGCCGTCGGCGGCGTGCAGCGCATTAAGATCGGGCACGCAGACGCCACGCACCGGCGCGCGCGATCGTCCAGCGTCGCCGCGTGTCATGCATGGCGGGATGGGCTCGGGCCCGGGAAATAGACGCTCTAAAGTGTTAGTTTTGGGCCAAAATCGTGTTAGATTTAAAATTAGTTTTAAAAAGTGTTAAAAAAATCCTCTCCTACCGCTGGACCTGGACGGCTCGAGAAAAGGTCGGTGATGGGTTTCCTTTCGTACACGCTCCTGGGAGCAAGCAGGCCCGTTGGGTGACTTGTATCCTGGGGCCGTGGCCCGTGGGTATGGGACTGGGACGCATGAATGCATGATTAGCACAAGTCTTTTAAGCGACGGGCCGGCCCAGCAAACGTCCGCCACCACTCCGCGCCGGTCTGTTGCGCCGCCGTTCGCTCGTCTCCGTCGTGCACGCTTGAGAAATGCTCCCGTTGGGCAAAAGTGTTAGCTTTTGGAAGAACCGCCAGTGTTAGATTTAAAATTGCTCCCGCAAAAGTGTTAAAAATGCCTCTCCTACCGCTGGACCTGGACGGCTGCTGAGAAAAGGTCGGTGATGGGTGGGCCACGAGGTACACGCTCCTGGGGCCTAAGCAAGCAGGCCCGTTGGGTGACATTAGAATCCTGGGGCCGTGGCCCGTAGGGTATGGGACTCAAGGGGACGCATGAATGCAATTAGCACAAGTCTTGAGTCGCGAAGCGACGAAGGCCGGCCCAGCAAACGTCCGCTCCCCACTCCGCGCCGGTCTGTTGTTCCGCCGTTCGCTCGTCTCCGTGCCGTGCACGTGCTTCTGCTCTGCTCTTGATTGGCCGCTCTACCCTCCGCCGTCGGGCTGCTAAATTCTGCTCCCCACCGCCAGCTGTCCGTCCCGGTGCTCTCTCCTAGTGCTTTGCACGTGCCATGTTTTTTTTTGCACGGTGTTAGAATTTTGAATATTAGCTCAGAAATATTTATCCAGAGAGGCCGTCGCCGGCCGATCGGGCCCTCTCCGCGCCGGGGCTGCTGCTGTGCTCCCGCCGTCCGCTGTCCTTCCCGGTCTCTCTCCCCTGCTCCCGCAAGTAAGCTCGTCGTTCTTCCATCCCCTGCTCCTCTCTCCTCTGCTACCTCCTCCCTCCCTGGATTTTGTTTGTTTTCTCAGCCTCTTCGGTCGAGGCCACGGAGGCCGTCTGCCGCGACTGCGCGCCCTACTCCCACGGTGCCGTCGTCCGCTTCCGCCTCGGCTTCTCCCGCATCCTCGCCGGCCTCGCGTGCACCCTCTGCTAGGCGGGCGGCCGCCGCCGCCGGGTTCCTGCTGCCTATACATACACACGCGCACGCGCGTATGGTGCTCTTCTTGCTCCCTTCTCTCTCTGTCCTTTTCTAGTAGTAGTGAGTTGGTTTCTAGCGCAGCACAACAATCTATATGCAGGACTAGCGGTTAGTTCTCCAAATCTTTATGCTTTCTCTCTCTCTCTTTTCCCTTTTTGAGGATTGGGTGTACCATGTAGAGTGAGGAAATCGTGTGTGTGTGAGTGTTTGCTTGGGATGTGAGAGGTAACTCTCCTAGGAATTCCATGTGCATGTGATGTGAATATTTCTTTGTCTGTATCTTGGCAATCCTTCAGTTTCAGTTTTGGATTTGCGGGTTTAATTCATCGTCTTTCTTTCCAATGCTTCATTCAAGCGACAAGTTGGGATGGAGACGGAACTCCTTTTTCCCTCTTTTGTTTGGTCCAAGCCAAGCCAAGCGTCCAACCTGACAGTATAGGCTATTATACAACTAGGATTGCAATTTCAGTTTGTAATTTCAGTTTGCATTTTCTTTTAGTATTAGTATTTAATTTCAGTTTTTAATTTCAGTTTTGCATTTTTATTTTTTTAATTTCATTTTAGCAATTTCAGTTTGTAATTTTAGTTTTCAATTTGATTTTGAGTTTCCTTTCCAGTTCAGTTTTAGTTTCAGAATTTGGGGCATGACTGTAACAACCCAGTGGAAAATATGTGTATTGCACTGAACTAAGCACAGGAACAGAATCTCTTATCTTGCCACTGGAAGGGTGTTTAACAGCTTTACTTTCATTTTCCTGCAAAAGATTCCTCAGTAGAATGTGTTTGACATGTTTGGGAATGCTTTTGATTCAGGCTAATTGAAGGAGTGGTGCGTTCTGTGAACAATCTGCTTGAGAAGTTCCATCAGTCCTTTTTCCTGTACTTCCTTACTGCTGCAAGCAAGTTCATTGGCGTGTTGGCACCTCTCCCAATAGTTGCTGCTGCCCTTGCTGATGGCAGTAGAAGCATGGAAAAACCAGTAGATAAGTTGATGGAACACGGTAAAGCAGATGACATTGCCGATATCCCGCAAAGCAAGGGTGGATCATGTAAATGTCTTCAAGCTACAAAAGTATTGCTTGTTATCCAACTATGGGCAGTACTTGTTTCACTACTTCCATACATTACTCAGATACCTGATGCCACACCTATGCAGAGCGCGCTCATCTGGGTTGTTCTCTCCATCGTCATACTGATCGCCCTGTCTGTCTTGTTTGGCTCACCATACTCAGCTGGTGTTGAATGGAAACTTCTGAAAGCTACCATGATCACTTCCATCCTCCTCTTCGCCGATTTTTGCTGCTGCTACATCTAGCAGGGCCAGCGGCAGCGGAGTCTTGGATCTTGACGACCGTCGTCTGCTGCAGGAAGTCGCAGGACCTGGTGGTATGTACCTAGTACACCGGGTCGGCGAACACGGAGACGACGCCGGGCTTCCGCCGGAGTGCCGCGTCCTCGTCCCTGGACAACGGCACCATGAACCCAGAGAAGCAGTGTTTGACGCGCCGCGGTCCGTTCGCATCTCTCGTGCGCTGTCGGGGTCGCTCGCGCAGACTGGGGCGCTGGAGGAGGGAGGCAGGGAGAAGTGGAGGGGATCGGGTGTGCCCAGCGCGGCGAGGTCGTCGGGGCTGCAGCGGCGGGGGCAGAAGCGCAGTGCGGCGCGGTGGCGTTCGTACGGCAGGAGCTGGCCTCTTTCTTTCTTCTCTCCGTAGCAGCGTGGGGGATATGGAGGCGGTTCCGTGGAGACGGTAGTTTGCTGGGCGTCGATGGGAGATCGCAGGACCACAGAAAGTAGGCGATGTGGCACGTTGTGGGATCAAATAGGTGAGTATAAGAATAAGGGTAAGGTATAGATTAAAAAACAACAAAAACCAAGAATACCCCTTATCAACTCGTGCCTTCCCCAATCCCTCATCCTCTACCGTGGAGCCCATACCTCTAGTTTCAACCAAACATCTCTCACTTTGGTTTTCACACTGACTTAATATGTGCAACCCTAGCAGCTAAGAATAAGGGTAAGGTATAGATTAAAAAACAACAAAAACCAAGAATACCCCTTATCAACTCGTGCCTTCCCCAATCCCTCATCCTCTACCGTGGCCTCTAGTTCTCATCTCTCTCACTCTCATATGTGCAACCCTAGCAGCGCCTAGGCGGATCCAGGCGCATGAGCGTGGGGCGCGACCTGCCCTCCTTCTTTGGCCTCAGCGACGAGGCGTGGTGGCGTGGCCCCTGAAGGCGCCACATGTGATCAAGGCGGGCAGCGCCCGTGCGCAGGCAAGATCTAGGTGTCGTGGATGAGGGCAGGAGCGGCGACCTAGGTGAGTGCAAGAGATGGATTTATGCGTCGTTGGTGAAGAGATTAGGTAAGGTTTGAAGCTCCTGTCATTTGGTTTGTAGGAAAATTTGTATCAAGTTCAAAAAGACATGCATGTTCTTTCAATCCAATGGTATCCAAAGATTATTGGCCAGGTGTTGATTTGGGATATAAAATCAAGAAGCCTAAATTGAGAAGGGGCGAGGAAGACCAAGAAATTCTAGGATCAAATCCTATGATGAGGCCATCACCAGTAAGAAAAGGATACCATGTTTTGAATGTAATGAACTAGGCCATATAACCGAGCATTGCCAAGGAGATCCAACTGCTAGTCAAAAGAGGAATCGCTCATCTTCTCAAAATGAATCATCTTCACAGCCATCAATGTGAGCCATGCTCATTTGTATTTTTTTTGCTTCTTTACTCATGCTTATTTAATCAACTTGTTTACTGAACCATTTTTCTCCATTCATGTGAAGTGCAAGTGCAAGTGGTGAACCATTTTTTCTCCATTCATGTGAAATGCAAGGGGAAGGGGAAGGGGAAGGGGAAGGGGAAGAGGAAGTGCTAAGTGTAGAACCAGGAACAAAGCGAACAGAAGGTGCAGGAGGAACAGAAGGAAGAGGGAAGAGGGAGGTTGGCTGTTAGTTACTGCTTTTGTTGGACCTATACGCTGGATGAGGGTTAGTGCTACATGAATACTTTTGCTATACTTACATATGATGGGATATTATCTATCTATATGTACATGTTGTGTGGAATCATATGTAAGCAAGTTGTACACTGATGTTGTCAAAATTTTGTAAAAAGTTTGATCAAATTTATAAATGCTTGCTCAACTGTCAAAAGTGTGCTCATTTGATTGAGTTTGGTATTTTAAATTATTTGTTAAAATGATGTCTAAATGTATATGTCAAAATAGGGGTAAATTCACTATATATTAAGATAAGTAGAGGTAATTTCGCATAGGCAAACTTGTCCTTACTTAGCCCATTTGACACTGTTATCTATTATTCATGGAGTAGGGATAAACTTAGGCTTCGTTTTTCAAAAAACAGAGGTAAAATCACAACCATGACAAAAATAGAGGTAAAATAACAATTGGACATCAAAGTAAGAGCAAGAACGCAATAACCCTGCTATATATACTCACTAGACAACCTAGCAACCATCTTTGTCAGATTACACGGAATTGAGCGATCCAAACGCAACATAAAGTGCACGCTATATTGCATCGTGGGCTCGTGGCACAGTGGCCTGGGCAGAGGGCTCATCGTGAAGCGATGCAGGGTTGATCGCCTGAGAGCAGGTACAATAAAGCCACGTTACTGGACTTATAGCTAAGGCCTTGTTTAGTTGGCCAAATTCGCTGTCGCCGGATTCACTGTAGCACACTGTAGTATTTTGTTTGTATTTGGTAATAATTGTTCAATCGTTGACTAATTAGGCTCAAAACGTTCGTTTCTCGCAAAGTACAACATAACTGTGCAATTAGTTTTTTGATTTCATCTACATTTAGCACTCCATACATGTACCATAAGTTTGATGTGATAGAAAATCTTCTTTTTATATAGTGTCAAAATTAGGAGTTGAAAGCAACTAAACAAGTTATAAGACATGCCAACACAATCCCTATTTGGAAGAGTGAGAAAGAGGGAGAAAAGCTCACCTTGGCGCAACACGCAGCGCAGCGCTAGCACGGTTGCCCAAGTCGTGGGTCCCTCCACTAACTCGTGCTCCCATCTACCTTTCGATTGCTTTGTCCCTCACGCAGTCCACCACGACGCGAAGCAACTGAGGTGAACAGGTCCGGCTACTACGCCGTCCTCGCTTACGTTCGCGCCGTCGCCGTGCCGGCCCTCGCGAGCACGACGTTGCCGCGCCATCGCCGCTCGACCTCCGCGCGCCGGTCCAGCAGGGGAGGGAGGAGCAGGGCTGGACGACGCCCAGCTCGACCTCCACATGGCCACGCCTCGGCTTCGCGCCCCTGCTGACCTGGCGCGTCCGCGTGCGCTCGCTGCGGCCTCCACCGCGCCTCCGCCGCTTGCCGGCGCGCGCAGGTCGTCATCATCGTGTCCGTCGTCTTCTTCTCCGTGTCCATTGTCCGCGCAACAAATGTGGTTGTCCGCACACCGGCGGTCGTCCACGCCCCGGCCGCCGTCCTTGCCCCGGCGTTCATCAACACCCCGGCTACCGTTGTTCTCTCCGCTGTCCGCACAGCCACCGCCGCCCTCGCTGCGTGACGGAATGGTGCAGGTAGGAGATGAAGGAACAGGGCCTTGGTTAGATCACCTCCAAATTTCAAGTTTTTTCACTCTCTCTTCATTACATTAATTTTTAGATGTATGCATAGAGCATTAAATATAGGTAAAAAAATAACTAATTGCATAGTTTGGTTGTAAATCACGATACGAATCTTTTAAGCCTAGTTAGTCCATGATCGGACAAAGTTTATCAAATACAAACGAAACGTGCTACAGTGTCATATTGCAAAAATTTGCAAACTAAACCAGGCCGAGATGGGAAGGTTGGGTGGGTCCCACATGCAATAAAAATGGTATTTAAAATAAGAGAGGAGATTAGATTGTTGTCTTGTGTATTGTGTTGGTCTGTTGCTGTCTTGCTGACTTGGCTTGGCTTATAGCCAAGGTTAATTAAACCTCCTCTGATGGCGACTACTCGGGTCAGCCAGTGTGCTGCACCGCTTGCAGCTGGTCGCTGCTACTGGTCCGGGCTGGTCCGACGGGCCACACGGCAATGATTGGTCTCACGGTTTACCGGTAGTACTCGCTCCGTCCTAGGTCCGTGCGACTCCACACACGCCTCGCCGACGGAGCCCACCGTAAAAAAAAAACTCGTAATTTTAGTTTTGAACCTGGAGATGCATCCGTATCCATTTTTCTGGACGGAGGAAGTATTATGTCCAGATTTAAAACTATGTTTTTGTGTTTTTTTCACTCTGTTCGAGGAGTGGAGTACTGAGAGCACGTATTTCACATAGAGCTAGTTTTCATTTGTGGAAAGCATCCTGACACCCCTATGTCCAGGTTTAAAACTAGAATTGTGTTTTTTTCTAAACGGAGGGAGTACTCCGTATTTCACATAGAGCTAGTTTTCATGACTTCGCATCCTCCGTACTCCGTACATAAAAACGCCTCCAACTAGCTAGAAGCGCTTCTCCATGCGACACCGTTTAAAGGTGCGAGAGCCATATTAAACAGCACCTAAATAAATGTACATCTCATTTCTAAAGGGGTAATTATTTTAAAATTTCACTAAATGTATATAAAAGTATTTATACTTATGGTCCGTAATAATTATTATTAGATTAAATGTAAGAATACACTTTTATAATAACTTTATTTAAAAATAAAATATTGCTATTATTTTCTATATTAATGAGCCAACTTTAAAATATTTGACTCTTTAAGAAACTGGGATGTTTATTTATTTTAGGACAACCCAAAGAAATGATAGTACTCGATAGTCGGTACATTAAAGAAGAGAGTAGTTCTAGTTTTTCTCTAGAAGTAAATCATACAAAAAGAACTAACATTTATAATAGCAAATAAATACTACTACATTAACAAAATATATTTTTAAATAAAGCTATCTAAATATATAAATATTAATACTATTTTTTTATAAACTTAGTCAAACTTATTATGTCAAATCTAGAATTGTATTTTTTTTAGGACAAAGAGAGTACTCTACTAATCATATAAAGCTTGAATAATTATTTTTCACTTGGATAATGGAGATATAGTCTCATACAAAATAATTATCTAATTGCGCCATTAATTGTATTTAAAGCATGAAGTGGAGGATGCATGCAACATTGTATTTCATACAAAAGGTGTAAATAGATATTTCATGACTGGCACAATTAGATTTGTTATGTTTATTTATTAAAATATAAGGACGAAAGTTTAGACTATAAAATATATAAGGCAGAGGTTGAAATCAACTAGATACTACTTTAAAATCTATAAGGTAGT